GATTGGCTGCTGATCTAACTAAGTCGGAAACAATTTTTATTCTAATCATGAGCTTATACTAGATGTGTACACACAATCGATACAATTTCAATACATCGATATCTGTTACATTTCAATTACATGCATGTAATATTCTCCCGGCCATGAGGAAATAATGTGAATTTAACTTATATCAGCTTTTGGCGTCAACACAGCTTTGCAGCTTTTTTTGCACGAGTTTGTGTGCAAATTATTTGAACGTCTGAACAGACTGTAGCTCTTAAAAATAAATTTTTATAAACCAATCAAAACAAATCCCTTTAGTAGAAGCACTTTATAATTACCAAATGTGCTTACAAGCGCTCAAAAAAAAGTAAATTGTTATATATTGGAAATATTTACTGTAACACTAAAAATGCTTATATGTTCTATTGTGCGTGGATTTGTTGCCGACGACACTCATAAAAACTTAGCAGTCAGTGAAAATTGTACGCAAAGTTATAGGAAAGTGTGGTGTGAGTTTCGACGTCGCACTTACGTCATCCGCGTTGTACAAGTATAGTATAAGTAGCAGGCAACAGTCTCCTCCCACTTGGTTGGCGTTGGTTAGGCGACTAAATCAAAGCATTGCATACTTTACGGGCGTGAAATTACATAATTTTTCTCCTGATGTGTTGTTGTTGCTGCTCCTGCCGCTGCTGTTTTCAATTTCGTTTTAATAATCCGCCATAGCAACGCGCAAGTCAAGTAGAAACGCATGAGATGGGTGATGGGGGATGTGGGAAGGGAATCAGGTTGCGTTGGCTCCGATTTCAGCGCTTATTTGGTTTCTGATTATTATTTTATGCTGCATACACAAAGGCGCAGAAGCGCGCCACATAACACATACAAGTGTAATTTTTGGCATATGTTGAAAGCCCGCACACACACACACACACACCTAAAACAAACCAAAAAAAAAGGAAAAAAATGCATGATATTTGCTTTTATTGTGTTTTGCACTTTGCCAAAGTTTCACCCAAGTGTGTGAATTTATTCGCGCTCGTGTGTGTTTGTATTTGTTGCGTGCTGTTATTATTATTATTTTACTTGCACTCTTTGTTGCTGCGCCTTTTAGCTGTGCTACTCTCTTCTTTTTATGTTTATTTCCTCCTTTTTTTCTTACTGTACTCGTTTATTTGTTCTGCGCCATTCATCAATAATTCACATTGATTTCCTTGCCCGAATATATTTCACATGCCTGCCAACTGAGGCAACACTCTTATTATTGTTCTTGTTTGACTTGAAATTGCCGCCCCGCCCGTCCGCCTGCCTGCAAAGGCCGGCGGTGTCTTCGTTTCTCTTTTTATACCCTGTACCCGTAGGGTAAAAAGGGTATATTAGGTTTGTGCAAAGTATGTAACATACAGAAGGAAGCATCTCCGACCCCATAAAGTATATATATTCTGAATCAGCATGACGAGAGAAATCGATCTAGACATGTCCGTCCGTCCGTCCGTCTGTCCGTCTGTCCGTCTGGATGAACGCGAGGATCTCAGAAACTATAAAAGCTAGAATAACCAAAGTTGGCATCCAGATTCTCCTAGGTCCGAGAAAGGACGAGTTTATTTTATTTTTTTGAATTTCCCCCCCCCTTCCCCCGCTACAGAATTTCGTCAATAGCGTCCACATTTCAAATGCTACCTAAACCAAACTTTGCAAACATAATTTCTATATAATTGTCTACTGTTGTTCAAAATTTTATTCTATTCGGTCAATTCTAAGAAAAGTTATTAGCGAAACAAATTCTCGCCAGTACAACTCCCCCAAACTGCAGCAACAAGTTCGCTCTTCTTCTTCCTCTTTTTGCTGCTTTGGGCGCATATAACTCAGTGGCGGAAGTTTACCTGGGTACAGGGTATTACACTGTCGGGCTTGCTCGACTGTAGCGTTCTCTCTTGTTGTTGCTGTTGTTGTTATTTGTTCAAATTGTATTCTTTTATTTTTGGGGCTACGTTTTGTTTCACTTCAATTTCCGTGTAAACATTTGCTTGCTGGCGGACTTTGTTGCCAAGGGAATACAAAAAAATTCCCCTGTAATGTAGAAGAAGTACGAGCATTGTTAACATTTATTGCTGTAATTCAAATGTTGGCACATTTGTGGCTGCAATTTCTGCAATTTTCAGCCTGTTACAAATTTTTTCAATCAAACAGCAATAATATAAATGAAGATGCATAATGGAGAAGCCACAATGTTACATGGCTAGTCTACTATACTCCTCTACTTTAACGTTTTGCTATTGAGCTTTTCAAATTTCCATACTCTTTTGGAGTAGAAAACATTTCTAGTTGTGTGCTCAAGGAGTGTTTTTAGTTATTAGTTCAAACATTGTTTACACTTTTTCATCTGTCGCTTGAATTTGCAGTTGTTTCGAGAAAACATTCCAAAAAATATTTATAAACAAAAACCGGCCAAAAGGGATTTGTCTGAGTGTCCGAAATAAATATTACATTTTTGTAAACGAACGCTTTTTCTAAGTAACTACTGTAACTTTAAATTATACTTGTAGTATTTGTTATATATCTATACAAAATATTTTGAACTCAAGTCATATTAGTAGTATGTGTGTTGAAGGTGTGTAAGGTCGAGAGCCCTCCCAATGGCTATCGCAATAACGCACAAAATTACTATTTAAGTAAAATTAATCGAACAAAAATTTTGTAATTGTTTTTACAAAAAAAAGTGTTCTGAAGACTTTAAATTGTGCAACCAATTTCCTGTCTTTTAAAACCCGTTTTATATCTAAGCAATTCGACTTGCTTAGATATAAGAATTCCAATCAAATTTCTAAACATTTCAATTGCAGTCATTTTTCCCAATTTTGTGTATGTCTTTAATTGTTTTCTTGCTTGCTCTGAAACGGTTCAAAATTTCGCAATACACACTCAACACGAAGGTGGTTCAATAAATCATTCTAAAACACAATTAATTGTCAAAATAGGCTGCTCTAGCAGATATCTAACAATCTAACATCGTTTTTCAATGTGATGACATACTTTGTCAATTGGAATCATTGACCAAAAATAATGACAACATCGTCGATCGTTGATTTCTGGATTACTAGCCTCAAGTGGTTAAATAAACAATTCAAACTCGATGCCAAAAGTATATTTTACTTGTATAGGATTTGCTTTGAATTTGATATAGAAATGTTGAAATATTAATACTATATACATTTGAAAGTATATTGCGATGTGAATGGTAGGAATTCTAAAAACAAACTACTGAATGAAGGATAACTAGGAAGTTATGAACCAAAACGAATACATAAGTGTTTATACTTTCTGCTTTTTGTTTAGACTTTAAATCACCAACATTTCAAACTTGATTTCAAAAGTATATTTTACTTGTTTAGGATTTGCTTTGAATTTTATGTAGAATTGTTGAAATATTGATACTACAAGTATACTATTAGGTCGAGCTATTGCGATGTAAATAGCAGCAATTCTAAAAACAAACTACTGAATGATCCTAATTGTGAATAAGCTTAAACTTTTTGCTTTTTGTTGAAACTTTAAACTACCCTCGATGATAAAACACTTTTCCACTTAATTTTTTTTTTTTTTTTTTTTTTTTTGTAATTTACAACACGCTTGCAAGCAACAAACGGCAACAGAACAACACACCTAGACACACACACACACATGCACATACTTCGTGTGTGTACAACACATAAAAACAAAACAGCATCCATGCTTGCTTCCTTGCGTTGCCACTGGCAATGTGATGTGGCAACACTGGCAAGCTGTGGCAGTTGCTATCGCGTTGCCAACCAACGCAACCACTGATGCGTCTGATGGCTGATGGCTGACGGTGCTGATGGGGGGAGGAAGGCGGCGCTCAGGTCGAGCTATCGAGGCTGCCGAGTGTTGAAAAAAATTCATTCATTCATGCGTTCCCTTACGCCGTGTTTTTCCTTTCGCATATGCGTGCATATGTGTGTTCTCTCTGTGTGTGTAAATACGTTGCTGCTAGGCACACACACACACACACACACACACTCCACTGGTATGTGTTGTATTTTGTATGAGTTTGTATGTTGATTTGATTGGATTTGATTTAATTTTCCAATTGAAAACACTTTATCATATGTCTATGTATGTATGTATGTCCATTCGTCTTACACTCGTGTTGTGCAAGCGCTAGAACAACAACAACAACAACAAGAGCGTAGCTATCACTTTACATAAGCAAGCTGAGTTATGATGGATACCTGATATCTATGTTTGTCTTATTACGTGCCAGATTTTATGCCTAGACAACCAGCAGAAGACAAATTGGCAAAAGTCGACTGACAAATGTGCGTTGACAAAATTGCTGGCGAGGTGGGGCAGACGAGAGGTGCGGACTGTGATTTTCACTTGACTTCAGGAGCTCTAAGCAAAGACAAAGAAAAACATCAGTCGGAATATTAATAGCTATTTCAGGCAGGGCTCGTTTATCTCATTAAATTATAATACGTTAATTGGATACTATGTGTGTGTGCCAAGTGCCAAATGCCAAAAAGCAGAAATGAGACATAATAAATAGAACTACTATTATGTTTGTCTGTATGAACGCCTAGATATCAAAAGGTAGTATGTAGTATCTATACAAAACATCAGTTGTAGACTCGTTTAAGCAAAATGCAGATGAAGTTTATGTTGTTTTGACGTTATACACATTTTCCTCATACTTTATATATGTATGTACTGTGGTACACAAGGAGTAAAAGGATGTATTAGTTCCATATTTTTCGTAGAAATCTTTTATGTAGAAATCCTTTGTGGGGAATATGTGTACACGCAGATATTCTATGGGTTCCCCCAACCCGACACTCTCTTCGAATGATTGATAATGAAATATTCGTTGCTTTTATAAATGCAGCAAATATAAGCCGTACTTTACAACAGTTTGACAATAAATATTTATACAATAACCAGCAAGAATAGTCAATGCATATTAATTTTTATATAATTTCTTCTTCTCTTTCGCGTCACAGCAACTTTTCCGCTCACAGAATCCCGGTCTTGCGGCCGCTGCCACAAATGCTGCTGCTGCCGCTGCGGCTGCAGCTGCGGCGGCCACCTCGGCAGCCAGTGCTGTCCCGCCCGGTGCACCAAATGGGACGATGCAGCCACAACAACAAATGCAAATGGCCGCCGCCTCACATCAATTTCTGACCGCCCAACAGAATGCCGCGTATGCGGCGCAACAGGCCACGTCGTATGTCATTAATCCGGGACAGGAGGCCGCTCCGTATCTGGGCATGATAGCCGCGGCACAAATGCCACCCTACTACGGGGTGGCGCCATGGGGCATGTATCCGGGTAATCTGATACCACAGCAGGGCACACAGCCACGACGACCCTTAACACCGTCACAACAGGGCGCCGAAAATCAATCGTACCAGGTAAGTTGGCAATGTGTGTGTGTGTGTGTGTGTGGGGATGTGTGTGTGGGTGGGAGAGCGAATTATGCAATTGTTGCACACTTGTGAGTGGACGATGGGACAATTCCTGTTGTACATACTCAAAGCATACATAAGGCTGTACAAAATGAACAAAAAATAAAAAATAAATAAAGCTTTGGCTGTGTATTTTACATGTAACATAAGAAAACAAGAAAACTGTGTACATTCACTGCACATAGACTAGACCAATTGGCAAAGGAAGAAGAGGAGAGGAATTGGAAGGATTGGTGGGATTGTTGATATTTCAAGCAAAGACATTTATTTAAATACATTTAAATTAAAGTTATTTAATACTATATATTTGCTGCTTTACTATATATCAGACAAACAACTATTTACTCTACGATGTACAAATATTATTCAATAATATTAATATCAACAATCTCACGCAAGACTCTGGACTATCTGTAAAATTCACAACGAGTTGTCTTTTAGACATTGTACATGCTGCCGCCTACATTCAAATAAAATCTATACACATAAAAAAGAAGACATGCTACTGTATATAAACATTTGCAAAATAACGCCAATATACCACCGAATACCTAAAACGTTGTATTTTTCTCTCTCTTCTTTTCTTTTTCCTACATAACTACATCATAACCAACATAAATAATCGAACACACAAAACAAATATATATCAAATATACCGCAAAATACCTTAACCCTGTACAAAACAAATATGCAAATTGTAAACCAAAAAAAAAAAAAAATCATGCGTGCCATGATCACACAAAAGGTCATACCGGCCTTCTTCGATCAGAGCGGCTCGCTTGTAATGGGACCACGGACCGGCACACCAATGCGCCTTGTTAGCCCAGCACCGGTGTTGGCTGTGCCTCCGGGCGCGGCACGCGCCGGTCCACCACCACCACAGGGGCCACAACTCTATCCGCCACAGCCACAGACGGCACAACAGAATCTCTACTCACAGCAGAATGGTTCCAGTGTCGGAGGTAAGTGAAGAGAAATGCTTTCAATATACCAATACTCCTAGATGGCATAATAGCTTTGCAAAAATCAATATAAAATAAGATTCTAGAAGAGCTTTACGAGAGATGCTGGATTTAAAGGAAACGTGATTTTTCCTTAAAGATTCCAGAAAACTCAGTATACACTTAGTTGCCCTTAAATTGTGCGACTAGTTTATGGGTTATGGCAATATATTTACTTATTGATTCAAATAAAATATTTGTATGATTTCCTATACATATTTGGGACATTTGTAATTATTATTATTTAATTATTAATTAATTATTTAATTATGCCGTCTAGGGTACTTACATGCTCATAAAATAGGTTGTAATCTATATAAATAGTGCATTATTGTCATACAACTGTTAGTTATACATATTATGTGTATTATGGTCGGAAGACATTGTAAATGAGTTGTGAACCTAAAGCAATAGTTTATGTACAAACTGCCAACCACTGTAAGTTAAGGCCATATTGTCTCTGTCTCATGTATAAATTAACGCGAATATCTGCTGCTAAAGCCTTGTTAGTTGTCATCTTCTTCGTTGTCAGCGTCGTCGTCGTCGTTGTAGCCGTCGTTGCACTCACACACAATTACAACCATATTGTTAATCTCTTTGCTAACCAAATCCCATTAAACACGGTGCTCAACATTTTGTAAGCTTCATGTCGTCGCTGTTGCTGTTGTTGTTGTTGCCATCACCATCATCATACGATATGAACGGGCCACATTTTCATTTCATAATCGCTGTGCTTACAAAATTTGGCTACTGCTCCCAACGATTACACAGACAATAATTGCGTATTTATGGCATATAAACAGCAATTTTCACATAGCTTCAAGTACAACAACAACAACACAGCAGCAAAAACAGAAATAACAGCAGCAAATTGTTGCCTTGAAAACAATAGCGAATGGTATTGTTATTATAATTATTATAACGCCCCAGATAGACTTTCACTTGACGCATGTCTAACTCTGACGCTAACCAGGCACCCAGGGACCACCCCTAGCATCCCCCAGCCTGGGAGGATGTTCGAATATGTGTACATATATCCATGGATAGTTGTAAATGATTTCTAATGCCATTTATAATTTAAATTGCATCTATTTTAATTTAATTTCTATTCTGGTCCGTTGGGGCGCAATGTGCGCGAAACACATTTGCATTCAGATCAGAAATATTAGCATAGTGGATTAATATTTTGAAATATTATTTCAATATTTGATAGAACTGCGCACAATATTCGATTTATGATGCAAGTATAAACTGAATTCAAATGAAATTATAACTCTTGAAAAAAATAGTACATTTTATAAATTATAAATATTGCAAAATTTGAAAAACAAAGTCTTTAAATCAAGTGCAGTACAGCGATATGTTCAATCATAAAAATCTGGACGAAAATTTGAATAAAAAAAAATTAACTACTAACTTAGAAGGTCAACACAACAGACGTTTAAGAAATAAACGAATGGCTACGCGCCAGCCATTGCAACATAACCTATAAGATCTAAGTCTTTATTAAGAACTTTATTACAACTTCCCCAATTTCTTTAAAAAAAAGAAACCCATAATAAAAATTTTAAAGTTTTTGCAATTTAAAATTTCCTACCCATTATATTTTGGTATTTTCATAAAGTTTACATTTCCCATCAAGCGGATAAATCTGTATGACAAAATATTTGCCATATATGAGACATATTAAGATGTTCGATATTATCAACAAGTTATAGGTATTTTGCATCCTTCAATTTTTGTTCAATTTTTTTTTTTACGCAAAGTGATGATATTAGCATATCATTTGCCAATAAAAATTCCTCAAGTGCTCCAAAATTTCACTTTTTTTGGAGGGAAATCATAACAGAAAAAAGTATCCTTATAGCTAGACTAATAAACTATTCCTGTCAATATAGACACTTCTTACAGGCCAAGAATAATTGATGAATAAATTGTTAGATTTAAAAAACAAACCAACGTAAGTATTTTAAAGACGACCTTTTCGTAATATATATGAAGCACCGAGTGATAACACTTTAGTAGAAAGGTAGTATCCTCCCTAAAGAAGGTAGTTTCCAACGATGTCGATGATTCAACGGGTTCTACGTAGAAGCAGCACAAGGATATATAAAAAAGGAGACCCAAGAACAAAACACAAACGCTTATAATATTTTACAAGAAACGAGAGCTGTGCGAAATAAAAAAACACTATTTGCCCAACCATTATTCTATTCAAAATGTTATTCACATTCAAATAAACATGGCAGTCAATTTTTCGACACATTTTCGAATTAATTTTAAATGGTTCTATCTTATACCAAATGGAATTACAAAAAAAAAAAAAAATAAATAAATAAACTTGATTCTTAAATCTCATGCCATTTGAAACTTTTGCAAACTGTAATATTAGTCATGAGAACCAAATGTTTGTGTGTAAATTCTTCTTTTCCCCTTTACTTTTCATAAATTTCTAATGTGGCGCAAAATCGTTGCAGAAAACTAACAACAATAATAATAGGAACAACAATTGCATGCAAGCACGCAAAATGTTATTATTGCCACTGCCACAGCTGCAACAACAACAACAACAACAACAAAAGCAGCAACACTAGCAGCAACATCAACAAGCGTACTGAATGACTCTCTTTTCAAAATACAAAAATACATATACAAGTATACGAGACTATATATATTTTCGAAACCATGCGAGCGAGCAACTGACTCATGCAATTTTGAAAGTGGCGGGTGGCGCCAACAGCAGCAACTGCAACAATAATAATAACAACAACAACAACACTTCATATTACAACAACTGGCACACACGCACATACACACACACATATACATTACGTAGTGCACTCGTATGTGCTGAAGTGTTTTAGTTTTGCCGAGTTTTGTGCGCAACAACAATAGAGTTGGCAACATGAGCTTTCCAAGATCCGCAGCTCGCTCCCCCCTTGCTCTAGTGTGGTGGCACGTTGCAAGCTTAGCTGCTGCTGCTAATGCTGCTACTGCTGCTGGGAGTTGTGTGTTATTTGTTATTATTCTTGTTATTGCCAACAACAATTGTTGCAAAATTTATAGAATTTCAAATTATAATTAATAACGTCAGGCGCGCAGAAGAGTTAAGTTTACACCCCTCATATAAAACTATATATATATTTATTTATACTCGCCGCCTCACCAGCCAGCTGCTGCCCAGTACCCTTTCCAAAAACGACAACCGCCGACCCCCATTGGCATTTTCTATTATCGAGCTGCCGAACATTTGAAGCGTGCCCCTCACATTGCATGTTGGCAGCACAGTGCAGTGCATTGCAGCTTAGCTCAGCTCAGCTCCGGGCAATGAAAAGTTATAATTTTGTTGCTACTACTACACTGCAAATAGTTTTTGCCACCACTCCAACCCCTTTGCTGGCTGTTTGTGCGAGCATTTTTGAAAGGGCAGGCGTCTGTAATTTAAGTTGCCATATTTGCATTAAAAACAAAGTTTTTCCTCCAACGCCGGATGTGCGTGCCGCCTCCCCTGCCCTGCTGTCTTGCACATGCATGTGTGTGTGTGTGTGTGTGTATGTGTGTGTATATGTGTGTGTATGTATGTGTGTCTGCGCTTATGAAAATAAGAAATTTAATGCTCACACAAAGTTGAGCGAAACATAAGCGCGCTCAGTTCAGCTCAGCTCTGGCAAATTGCTGTTATGGTTGCGGCTGTAAGCGTCGAAGTAATGCGCGTTAAATGCGCCAAATGGGGAAAGAGAGCTTCAACTTAAATATAGTCCCAACCCCCGCACAACTACGATGGAGCTTACAAAATTAAACCAACGCTTACAAAATGTTTTAATACTCTTACATGTGTGCGCGACATGGAAACCATTACCAGAATGCATGCATATTCGTTACTCGCAGTAGCTTCATTTCGATTGTAGCTAATTAATATAATTATTAATTATGTGAACGTTTGCGATATTACTTTCCAATAGCAATGTGTAGTAGTGATGTAAATATGCATCGATACATCGATGTATCGATTTTTACGTAAGCGATTGTTTTCGATTGGAGGTTTCGATCGATTTTTATAAAAATATCGATGTTGCGGGCATTCCTAAGCAGGGAAATCCCAGCAAATACACAAAAGTAATTAAACTGTGATATGGCTTGTATCAAGAAAAGTGCTAAAGAACTGATTGAAATTTCAAAGTTATTGTGAAATTTAATAACTGTCCAGGATACATGTTAAATAAAGATTAAAAGTGATTAAAAATCTTGCAAATTTTTATGCAATCGAATTAACATGTGCGTGTATGTACATGTTGGGAATAACAACTTACTTTGAAATGGTGTCTTAGCAGTTCTTTAGCAATATGCATTTTAAATATTAGACTTATTAATATAACACATATATTTGAATTAAACATTTTAAAATGAATGCAAATATACGCTCCTAGCTTCTCTTTATACCCCATAACCCCAAAGGGCATAATACCGCTTGATACCGCTCGTCGTTAGCTTCCATCGCTTGTTTTATATTACAAATGTGTTATGAAAAATCTATGTTTCGATGTTAAGTTTTTCGATACATCGCTGCATCGATGTTGCGATTTTCGATTGATGTTCATTTCAGGTTTACATCATATACATGTACATATAGTAGTGGAGAGATTAAGTAGCCACTTTTAATCTCTGTTTAAAAATATAATGCAAGGACACCCTTTAATCCCTCTATCTGAAAATCTATATAACCAAAGAATAAATACTGGAATTACTTTTTGGAATGGTTGCATTTTCTAGTTTAAAGTGCAGCCTGTCTTCGTATTATTGTCTTTTAATATTAATAATGTCAAACTGACAGTCAAAGCCAGATCAGGTCTGGCAGGCAGGCAGAGATGCAACAACTATATTAACAATAAGAAAAATCAATTTGGCCAAATGGACGAACTGGCTGGCCCATAAAAAGCTCTCGCGTGTCTGTGTCGGCTCAT